TCAGTGGCGAAGTGGTCAAGCCGTTTACCACGCTCTGAAAGTCGTGGGTTCATTTCACGGCTTCGCCGTTCAGTTCACGGCTGCAGTTATTATGGAGATCCCTAAAGATCTTGCCGGAGCTAAGGAGTTCGTTCTCTGTGCGGCGTTCTCGCCAGGCGGCTTGACGTTTTGCGGGGAGAGACCGAGCCATATGGGAAAAATCCCGGTACAATGAAGTCGGTCGTCTCGACTTTAATCTTTAACCTTTAGCTAGTACTAGTAACTGGTAGTTTTTACATGTTACAGTTTCTGTATGAGTGGTGCAAGCATGCAGTCGGTCCCACCCCACCCCCCCCCCTCCCCCCCACATACAAATTTTACAGTGTAGGCAGGGAAAAGGGGAAGTGGAAAGGGGGGGGGGGGGGGGGGGGGGGGGGTGTTTGAGCCTGAGGATTTAAGCCCGCTTTTCTAGTGCTGTCGCCACGACTGTCCAGATGAGGATTTTATTTTGCCCCCGACAGAAAATTGCCACAACTTTACCGAAGATTCTAACCCGGGTCTTCCGCATGACAGCCCAGCGCTCTAACCGTTCAGCCAGCCGCTCCTCAGCAGTGAGTGCTAGTTTAGCTAAGTTTGGGATGTAAACCGAGTGGCGTATTTGTAATAAATAGTAAAAAGTAATGATAAATATTAGAATAATTCCCCGTGTGGGTACCGGGGCCCTATTATAGGGAAAACAAGAATAGACCCACTGCCTACCCAAAAGCATTTCATAAGAGTCGACTAATTGGGATCTTCTTTCGAAGTCGGAGTGCATTCGCAATGAGAGGCAAGGAACCAGCAGTCTGCACACAAATGAGTCAGATCTGTCAAACGGATGCACACGCAAAAATCAGGTTCTGGAACAGGACTGCAGTCCAGAAGTGGACAAACAACCAGAACTTTCCGCCGGAGTTTACAGCTGGTGAACGCGAAGAAGAAGAATAGTACAATAATGCATTTTTGTGTGGCGGCGGAAAATGTATGCGACACTTACAACCATTACATGCAGGTGTGGCCCACTGTGTAAGAAGAGGTAAATTATGTGTGTTCCCTCTAAAGTCGGAGTGCATCTCTCTGGGAGGCAAGGAACCAACTTTCAGCATGTTAATAAACCGGATCAAGCAAAACTCACCTTCTGGAACTAGTCCAGAGTCCAGAAGTGGACGAACAGCCAAAACTTTCCGCCGGAGTTTACAGCCAATGAAGGCTATGAAGAAGAAGCTGCAGATTTGTATCATGCCTTGTCACGAAAAAAGTACAAGTAAACGACCCTATTCCACGATTTCAGGTGAATTGGGCATATAGGGCTAGACCAATATTTTATAGACCAATCGGCACTCGGAGGGTGATGTGGTCAACATGATACCGACCGCCTTTACTTCCCAGGACTTTACTTGGTACCCGTTTAAGGCTGGGTCTACCTGGTAACCAAGGTTTTTTTTTTTTAAAGTCCACCAGGACCTAAATCCCCTACCTTCGGACCCGAAGGCGAACCTCTATCCCCTACACCAGGGCGGTTGCCTTGTTATGAAATGTGTACATCTATATCTTCGCAGGCGCTGCAGATATTTTGTATTATTACTTTAAGTATTACTTCCCGTCCTTTTCAGGGTGGAATTTTTCGTTTTGAAGCCCTACTCTGGCTCTTGCCAGGGGCCGCAATATAGCCTGGCCATAGATATGACCTAACGGCTGAACGCGGTTTCTGGGACCTCTCCACGGTGATCCTCACTCACATGGTGGCACTTTGTGTCATCGGGTGTTTGTCGCTAGTGTGATGTCCTGGTGGGGTAGAAAGTTAGTCAGTCAGTCAGATATTTTGCATTGCGTGGAGACAACTTGTTGTAAAGAATAGTAGCAGTATACGGGAACTGATAGATACGATGGTGGTAGAAAATGATAAAATGGGCCTCAATTTGAATAATGGGAAGATAGAAGTAATGGTGATCTCCAAGAAAAGAATAGTGCCTAAACGTATAATAAAAGAAATTTAAGTGTCTAGGCACATGAATAACATCCGATGGGAGATGTGTCACTGAAAAAAAAAAAAACACAGAATAGGACAGGCCAAAACTGCATTTTATAAAGTGAAGAACATGTTATGTAATAAGTCCGTGTCATTGGAGGTTGGAAAAAGAATTCTCGCAAGCTATATAGAGCCAGTTCTAGCATACGGCAGTGAATCCTGGAAAATTAAAACAGAAGCCGAACATAATCTTGAGGTCTCAGAGATGTGGTTTTACAGAAGAATCCTTAGAATTTCCCGGACAGCTAGGAAGAACAATCCAGACGTTTTGAAAGAGGTAAGTGCTCGAAGACAGCTTATCACAAACATCAGAAAGAGACAGTCATAATTTTTGACCATGTTATGAGAAGAGGGAAAATAGAACATATTGTGGCCACTGGAAAGATGTGTGAAAAGATAGACAGAGTAAGACAGTGCGAGAAGATTCTTGACATATTTTGTCATGGCAGGGAAAAGAGACAACACACGAACTGATACAGGCAGTTGCGGATCTCAGATTGTGGAGAGACATGATCGCCCAAGCCAATCGGCAAGACACTTAATGGTGATGAGCAGCAGCATGTAAGGTGCCAGGAAAGAGGGACAGGGTCAGGGTTGTCCAACACGGAGATGGACACAGGATATCAGTGATACCTTGGGTGGGAAAGCGCACGAAGCTGGAGATCTGTTGAGAGACCGAGTTTATTTCAGGTGGGCTGTGATAAGAGCGTCTTTCTGCCGAGGACCTGCTACATAATGATGAGAGAAACCATTAGAGTGTTCTATGGAAGGAGACCGAGAAATTATCGAGCTGTCCCAGCCTGCACTGATGGGGAATTCCATCCATACCAAACCATTAGAGTGTTCTATAGAAGGAGACCGAGAAATTATCGAGCTGTCCCAGCCTGCACTGATGGGGAATCCCATCCATACCAAACCATTAGAGCACACCATAACTTCAGAACATTATAGATTTGTTCGTTATAACTTATTGGTGGAAGACGTGGTTGCTGGAGGTAGCCTAACGGCCCATAATTGACCTTTGTTCCCAGGTTGACATAGCCTACGACGGGTACCAAGTAATGTTCTGGGAAGTTAAGGTGACCGGCACGATGCTGACCACCTCCCCCATGGAGCGCCGATCGGTCTATAAAAATTAGTCGTCTGTCACAATATGCCTAATGCGCAAAAGAGACAAAAGAGTCATTTACTTATTTATTTCTCTTATCTTTTCTGTTAGAGGAGACAGGGGTCGACTAGCACGACGATGGACGCAGGATATCAAGGATACCCTGAGTATCAAGTTCAAAAAGGGACAAGGTGACTTTGCTGAATACAGTTAAGAGAGCGACACTTTGCAAAACACAATATTATATATTGTATTTACAGTAGAACCTCGCTTAACGAGCACCTCTTATTACGAATAATTCGCATAACGAGCAGAACAAATTATAAAATAATAACTTGCTTAACGAGCGACGTTTCGCATAACGAGTGGCGAGGAGAGGGGAAGTCCCGGACTGTGCGCATATTACATCAGTCTGTGTTTAGCACTGGCTCCAGTAGCATCGTAGTGTCGCTTGTGATCAAACATTTTCTCACTTGTGTTTTTTGTGATACATGTGCATGAATCCTCCAGGCCTACAAGATGACCTCTCCGAAGAATTTAAGTTCATTAAGATCTAGTTTCTGCCTCCCAACACCACTTCGTTACTCCAGCCCATGGACCAGCAAGTTATTTCTTACTTTAAGATGCTCTACACGAAAGCACTCTTCGAGCATTGTTTTCAGGTGCAGAAGAGACAACCTAACTCTCAAAGAGTTTTGGAAAATCACTTCCACATCGTTGCCTGCCTCAAGATGATCGACAAGGCGGTGGAAGGGGTTACCAAGAGAACCATACCTTCTGCTTGGAAGAAGCCTTGGCAGGACAGCGTTGTCGATTTGTGACGTTGAGGGGTTCGAGACAGTACCGGTGGAACCTGTAGTCAACGAGATTGTGTCTTTGGTCACTAACATGGGATTGTATGTTGATAACAGTAATATCGAAGAGCTTGTGGAAGAGCACAGCCAAGAGCTGACCACCGAAGAGCTTATGGAGTTGCATTGTGTTTCACAGCAAGAAATTTTGGAGGAAAGTTTGTCAGAGGAGGAGGAGGTGGTAACAGAAAAGCAACAATCTTCTAGCGAAATAAGAGAAATGCTGGAGCATGGGAAACTGTTGCATCTTACATTGAGAAGTATCACCCTAATAAGGAAGTGGCTATGCGCACTGTAGTTTTATTAAATGATAATGCTGTGTCGCATTTTTGCCAAATTTTGAAGCGTCGGCAGAAGCAAATGTGTCTGGACATCTTTCTAGTAAACAAAAAAAATTGGCTATGTATCATAATTATTTCGCCTTTTTTTTTTTTTTGCAAATCGAATTCGCATTCCAGGTCGGTTCGTTTCGCGTTTGAAGAAAGGATGAAGATGATTAAATCGCCTTAACAATATGTATATAATTTTCTTTGAATAAACGTTATACATAGCATTTTTTGAGCATTTTCCTCGACATGGAACGCATTATCGTATTTTACATTAATTTATGAGAAAAATTATTTCGCATAACGAGTGTTTCGCTTAACGAGTATGATTCTGGAACGAATTATGCTCGTTAAGCGAGGTTCCACTGTATTTTTCATATATTGTAATTATTTTTAATATATTGTAATTATTTTTAATATATTGTAATTATTATAATATAGATGTCAGTGTTTACAATCACGATCAAATATAGTTTTGTTCTAACACTAATTCTTTTTTCTTTTTTTTACAGATATTGCTAGCTGGATAAGTCAGATACCGAACTTCTTATTGAAAAAATAAACATTCCAATGTTAAAGATTTCCGGCCAGATTTTGCTTCATGCTGTCAACAGGATCTTGATTTAAAAAACAGTACAACATAGGTTAGTCATCCTCGCTTCAAAAGAATGCCTCGCCCAGGAAGAAACACATACGATGAACAGAAACCGCCTTATTCTTATATTGCTCTGACAGCAATGGCAATACAGAGTTCTGGCGAGAAAATGTTACCCTTGAGCGACATTTATAAATTTATCATGGACAATTTTCCATTCTACCGCAAAAACACGCAGCGGTGGCAAAACTCTCTTAGGCACAATTTGTCTTTTAATGACTGTTTCATCAAAATTCCTAGGCGACCTGACAGACCAGGCAAGGGATCCTACTGGGCATTACATCCAATGTGTGGAGATATGTTCGAGAATGGTAGTTTCCTTCGGCGGAGGAAGAGATTCAAACTTCGTCAGCTTCAGCTACAAATGCAGGCTGCTGCGCAGCCTTCCCAGGAGCTAATGGTCATGAAGTCGACGCCTCCCATGGACACAAACAATTATTTTGAGGAAGCTGCATTTCGTGCTCGCTTGCATCATTCAATGGCCGCTTCCTCAAGACTGCAGTCATACATTACCTCTTCTGCCACCCCTACTAAACATTCATTCTCCATCGAGAGCCTAATATCACCAGATTATAAATCTCCCTCCAACATTCTTCCTCCACCCCAAGTTCTACAACCCTCCCTTCCTTCTTTTGCTGCACACTTTGCCTCAAATTTACCTCCCAGTTTAGTAGCTTCATATGCTGCTAGCATGGACATGACTTCTTCTTTAGCGACTTCCCTGTCCACAATCTCTTCACTGTCCTCTCTGTCACCTTCCTCTCTCTGCTCAAGTCTCATGTCCAGGTTTTCTGACAACCTTGATCTCCTGAAATCGGCTGCCCGCGATGAACTGAACATACATCCGTCGGTTCCAATCAAACCGTCACCAATAAATCCCCTAACTATCAGCTACGCCGCTCACCGGGCAGCTTTCATGTCCAGGATGTGTCTACCAACTTCAATTGGTCAGTCCTTATCGGGAAAAGTTTTAACGATGTCAGCAACTTCGAGCAGTTCATAATTTGGAGGACCTGGGGCGAAACGGAATGTTTTAATGACAGTTTTTGTGGTTATGTTGTAGAATATATTGACAGTTAGAGTGTTAATAAAATTGAGCCCAAACTAGTATGTGGGAATTCTAGACGGACAGGTCACAGTTAAAACTGGGGCTGAGAGAACGACTAGAGTGCTTTGCACATTGTATATGTAAAGAGAACATTTGAGTTCAGATTTTGCTGGCAGAGTGGCTTAAAGATCAAATCTTAGCTGTTAATTTTTAGTCACATTAACAATGAAGACTATATGGATCTACATGACAAAACACAACAAAATTATGGTACACTTTCCTTTCTCTTTATCACTGGTAGTGGAGAGGCCGTCTAGCGACTTAGACATGACGGTAATTTGGAGAACGATGCACAAGTTGCGGATTCTTTGGTCAATGGAAATAACATAAAAAAGAGCTGATCTTATAAATTGTACCTAGCGTAGAATTCAAAGTTGTGAACTCTTGATATCAACATATTATTTTTAGCATACCTGATACTGATTTACACACATCGGCGCTATAGATTTCATACACAGTGCCGAGATTCTCCCAGTGCGATCTATGTGAGGAGACTTTAACACACAGGGGACATTCATTGACGATAAGCTTTTATTTACTAGAAACTAAACTGCTGTTTTGATTAAATACGTCAAACACATTATCATCATGCAGCAGGTTCTTTGCAGAACGTCGCTCTCATCACGGTCTGTCTAAAAGAAACTCAGTCTCTCAACTCTCGAGCCTCGTGAAATTTCATACTCAAGGAGTCACTTATATGCTGTGCCAATCTTTATGGTGAACCCTGTCTCTCCTTTCTAGTACCGTGCCTTCTGCTATTATTTTTTCCAATCTGCCATGCCGCTTGATGTGACCAAAATATTTCAGCTTCCGAGACAAGATGCTGTTTATAAGCCAATCTTCCTTAATGTTTCTGATCTTTTAAATTGTGAGATTTCTCCTCTTCTTTGTCCAAGATATTCTTAAAATCTTTCTACAGCATTTCAGCTCAAAAGTCCCTATTTTCTTTCTTAAAAGGACTGGGAGATAATCCACGACTCACATCCGTGTGTTGATACGTCAAACTAGGAAAGACAAATATGTTTATTACATACGAGCGGCTTTCAGAAAGTAAGGTCCTGCAGTTGTTCCTAGCTATTAATAAAGAGAGAACAATAAAGCTGTGTACGCTTCAGATATGAAAGTCAGTACTGTGTTCTGATGGAACCGGACTTTTTTGAAAAATAACCTTGGCTCCCAAATCGACCCAGCTAAGGTGAGTACCAGGTATAGTCCTGTGAAGTAAAGGCGGCCTGGTGATGCTGACCACATCATCCACCTAGTGCCGAATGGTCTATAAAATATAGGTCTAGTCCTATGTGCCCAATAGGCCTGAAGGTGTGAAAAATGGTCCTTTACTTAATTTACTTGACTTAGTATTGTATGTACCATAAAGCAACATATTCGGTTGTTCTAATACGTTGAAATTAGGGTCGAAGACAATGTGCTTTACAAACAGCGAATGACTGTACAGTGTCTGGATGCTGGAAAAGAAATTGTGCTGAATAATCAAAAACATGTGTCCTGCATAGAAGCTGTGTAGTCGATAAGAGCGCCGTTGGTCGCTGGATTCAAAGACATAAAACGTCAGATAGCGATGAGACGGGCATGACGATATTATTCATGCTGTGAAGACACTTCTACAGGAAACGGAAATAACTTACACAGCCAAGTCGTACATAGCCTTGTATGGCTTTGGCGTGGGTCATTGAAGTTAATATGGATTATATAGAAAATTGTGATGTGTACAGGACAGAATGATTTATGTTGTCGGTGGATATCATACATGTTGCAGTCCACGGCAAAAATTAATGTGCATCATTACTTTCTGATTGACCCTTTTATATCCACCTATTACACTTGAGTGACCAGAAGAGATACAATCATGAATAAGGTCATACGAGATAAAGTCGGCACAGAAACAATTCTAAATTACATTCAAAGATAGCGAATCAAATGAGAGGCAAGCTCACCGCCTAATGTGGTTTTATTGTGATTCCGTTTCATGTCAATTTTTCAACAAGAAGATGTCAGTAAAAAAAAAAAATATTTATTGCAGAATATTATAATAAATATAATATGTCATCTAATGTCATAACTAGACGGAAAAGGCGGTAGACAAACATATAAGAAAAAACACAAAAGTCTACATGAAGAGACGACACGAAAATGAACTGGAACAATAATGTCAGACTAGTGTTTTATCAAGAGGTCAAGAAGCCTGGAAATTCTTTGGACCTTCGTATGAAAATGGCGACTGCTTTAAACAGAATGTGCATGTATAAAGAAAGTAAAGGACGCACGTTCACACCTCAAGAAGTTATAGTAGAAAATTCATGCCCCAAAATGGTATAGACCATTCAGTGCTTGAAATGATCGGTATCAGTTTACTGATTCTACCCGTCTGGTAGTCTGGTAGTCTTACCTCCGAAGTTGGAGTGCATCTGCCTGAGAGGCAAGGAACCAGCAGTCTGCATGCAAATGAGTCAGATCTGTAAAACTGATGCACACGCAACACTCACGGTTCTGGAATAGGACTGCAGTCCAGAAGTGGACAAACAACCAGAACTTTCCGCCGGTGTTTACAGCTGGTGAACGCGAAGGAGAAGAAAAAGAAGTTTACTGATCGTTACTTTCCAGTAGGGACCTGGTACCAATCAAGGACTGAGTCAACCTTGGAGTTCAGGTCATTGTTTTAAAAATCATCCCAGACGGGGATTCGACCTATACCCACAGGCTAGCAAGAAGCGTGCTAACCACTAAACAACTGCTGGTTTCCGAACACTGATATAAAACTGCCTATGTACTATTATGTAGGAACAGTGTAGGTTCAATTCTGAACACCGATGTCAAACAGCCTGTGTGCTATTCTGTGGGAACAGTGTGGGTTCAGTTCCGAACTTCTTCTTCTTCTTCTTCTTCACTTCCTCTTTTACCGCTGTGGGTGTCGAGGGAGATATAAGGTTCTGTTTCTAGCTCTTCTGGCTGCCTCGACCATAGGCACATCGTGCTGTTGTAGAGTTTCTCTGATGTTATTCTTTCATCTTGTTCTTGGTTCATACCGTGCTCTACGTCCTTCTTCTCTTTCCATGTATGCTTTGTATGGTATGGTGTCACAAGGCATTCTCTCTAAGTGGGCAAACCATTTCACTTGCTGTCTTTGTATGTAATCCAGAATTGGTTCTGTGCCGACTTGTTCTCTTATGATCTCATTCCTGATCTTGTCTCTTATGGTCACTCCTACAGCCCTTCTCAGACATCTCATTTCCGTGGTTACTAATTTTCTTTTATGGTTTGTTGTGAGTGACCATGTCTGGCACTGGTAGCACAGAGTTGGAATAAATATGCTTTGAATAAGATGTCTCTTTGTGCTGATTGGGATTGTCTTATGCTGTAAGAGGGGAGCTAGCTGTCCCAATACTTGGTTTGCTTTACTGCATCTAATGTTAATTTCTATATCCAAATTCCCATCTTCGGTAAATGTAGTTCCCAGATATTTAAACTCAGATGCCTGTTTAATGCCTTTGTATTCTATTGCTATGTTTAGTTCAGTTCCGAACACTGATGTCAAACTGCCTATGTGCTATTCTGTAGGAACGGTGTGGGTTCAGGGACCCCATTGTAGAGGGGGACAAAAGAAGAATAAAGCCACAGCCTCCAACACTATGGGAGTGTTTCCTTTGAAGTTGGCGTGCATTTGCCTGAGATGTGCTGAACCAATAGTCTGCATACAAATAAGCTATATCTGTTAAATGCTAAACTCACTTTCTGGAAGTAGAGTAAATTCTAGAAGTGGACAAACAACCAGAACTTTCCACTAGAGTATACAACCGGTGAACACGAAGAAGACGAAGTATGAACACAAACATGCTTTTATTACAATGATATCAAACAGGGTGTATTTTAATTATCAGATGTGCCAGCCTCATCTACGCTGTATCAGAATTCGTCCCACTCAAAGTGGTCTGTGACTATATTGAGTTAAATCAAAAAGTATAAATGAAATTCACAATTAAATATTTACCATCACTCGATCACCCACAATGTAGACCAGGTTAGTGCTCTTCTTTTGGCACAGTTATGTGGCCTAGCCATCTATGGTGTCATCTCTTTGTAGTCTCTTTACTTTTTTTTTTTTTTTTCAATATCAGCCTTGTCAACTGTTAAGTACTCGAGTCTAATCCTTCCCATAACATGTCCAAAAATACTTACAGCCTACATTGCTTCTTCAGCTGGTTGCAATCTCTAGTTACGAGAACGCAGACGTATATGTATATGTTGTAAATAATTACTAACTGAGAAAATGTGAACACTACACAAAGAGCGTTATAGAATCACGAAACTCCGCAGCTCCATGATGAACCTCAAGAAGACACGAAGATCTGCCCCGGTGAGCCCATAGGCCGAGCCTGACATTGAACCCATGATCTTTCAGAGCATGAGGCAGAAAGTTTAATCCCTTTTTCAAGGAGATCTTTATCTACACTTCTCCGGAAAGTGGCCAAACAACATGGGATAAACCCCGGTGCAGCGGAGTCGATTATCTTCAAACACTACTAACTTGTGTACATTACAACAAAAGAACAACCCGATCCTAATGATGAGTAATGCTACTGCAATTGTACTTACTGATAATGTCTGTAATAAATCGAGTGAAAAGTTTGTCTGCGGATTTCAAATGTAATACAGTATGTCTATAAATGTTGTATGTGTCCAGTGTCGTGACTTGCTGGTCTAAGGCTTAGCAGGTGTTTTTTTTTCCCCATTGTTTTTTTTTTTCTTCATTTGATGATAAGAAGATTCTTTGCAGTCCTTTGTCATAGCATGAAGTGGTATCAGCAAATGTATTGAAACCTACTGTTGGAAATCGCAGGTGTAAAGAGGCATGATCGTCCACGCCAGTCGGCAAGGCACTT